ATCACATCTAGTAAGAATGCAGCCAGACCAAACTGTATAAGATCTACAGATGGGTGGAAGTGCGAGAGGAAGAGAGGGATAGACGGCATGGCTGAATCCTGCAAAATAATGAATAAAACTATCCCCCGAGCCACTCCAGAAGAGCAAGACAACGACACAGGCTACAAGCCAGTAACAGTGTAATGATACAAGATACATAAAGAAAACCGTGACGCAGGCTAAAAGCCTGTAACAGTGTGATGATACACGATACATAAAGAAAAAAGTGACGCAGGCTAAAAACCAGTAACAATGTAATGAAACAAGATACATAAAGAAAACCGTGACGCAGGCTAAAAGCCAGTAACAGTGTGATGATACAAGATATCTACACAGAAAACCAAGACATAGGCTGAAAGCCAGTAATAGTGTGATGATACAAGATACATTAAGAAAACCACGACCCAGGCTACAAGCCAGTAACAGTGTAATGATACAAGATAAATAAAACCATGACACAGGCTACAAGCCAGTAAAAGTGTGATGATACAAGATACATAAAGAAAACCACGACACAGGCTACAAGCGAGTATCAGTGTAATGATACAAGATACAGAAAACCACGACACAGGCTACAAGCCAGTAACAGTGTAATGATACAAGATACATACAGAAAACCACAACACAAGGCTTCAAGCCAGTAACAGTGTGATGATACAAGATACATACAGAAAACCGTGACACAGGCTACAAGCCTTCCCAACTGGTTTCATGGGACATGACGTAGACTTATTTGCCTGGTGTTGCCTCTGGAGAACCCAAGCAGGGTGACCATGTAAAGACTGGTCAGCCCTCGTAGGAAAGCAGCGCCAGCTCATGGCCATTCCCCGCCATTCAAGGAGGCTTCCATAAATGCAGAGCTGACACATGATGCTCTGGTCCAGGGCTCACCCAAAAGAGAAATACATACTGAAGTAACACAAGAATGTCTGAGGAGCATGTGTGGGTAAGATGTAAATGTGTGGTGAAGGACACTTCTCCTGCTAGCGACTGGCACTTCAGGTATATGATCTTAGATTATATTTGTAAAGACCAATCAACACTCGATGGATGTGGTCAACACCTTTACTTCCAAGGAAGTTCCTGGGTTCAGCTGTGTCAACCTGGATACCAAGATAAAATTTGTTTCTTTAAAATCCATCTAGTGTGGATTCGAACAGAAGTTTTGGCTGGCAGTTGAGCGTTTAGCCACTATGTCACTGCAGCGCCCAGGTGTGATGTACTTCCCCTAAAAGAAAAATGGAGATGATGAATTTATTAAAGAGTAAAATAAAGGACCCTTGACCATGCCTTCAGGGGTATTAGGCATACAGTAAGTAAAGGACTTTTCCCCCACCCTTTCAGGTGTATTGGGCATACAGTAAGTAAAGGACTTTTCCCCCACCCTTTCAGATGTATTGGGCATACAGTAAGTAAAGGACTTTTCCCCACCCTTTCAGATGTATTGGGCATACAGTAAGTAAAGGACTTTTCCCCACCCTTTCAGGTGTATTGGGCATACAGTAAGTAAAGAACTTTTCCCCACTCTTTCAGGCGTATTAGGCATACAGTAAGTAAAGGACTTTTCCCCACCCTTTCAGGTGTATTGGGCATACAGTAAGTAAAGGACTTTTCCCCACCCTTTCAGGTGTATTGGGCATAAATGGTTAGACCTATATTTTATAGACTTTTATAGCACTCAGTGAGAGATGTAGTCAACATCTTAAGGCCGCCTTTACTTCCCACAAATTCAACTGGTACCCATATAACGTTAAGTCAACCTGTGAGCCAAGGTCATTTCTGAACTGAACCCATGACCATCCGATCCACAGGTGAGCATCTAGCCGCTACACCACCGTGGCTCAGGTTTAACACACCCCCCCCCCCCCCCCTCCTCCTCCCCCCCCCCCCCCAAAAACAACTGACAACAAACATCATTGTGTGCTCAATAACTGGCATAATGAAAACCCAGTGAATGTTATCTCTGTGAGTTTGGAGAATGCTGAATGTTTCTTGTGGTCGTTGAATGCTGCACTACCACCTTCACAGACCTGCGTCTCTCTTCAGGAGTGACAGATCCTACTGCGGGCTGGTCATTGGAGACATTGGAGATACTTCTGGATGGATACAGCGGCCTTATGCTGGAGACTGTGGTTGATGCTGGATGCTGCAGGTCTGTCTGTGTTGAACTCCGCCTGGATGTTGATTCTTCCCCGACTGTCTGACCTTTTCTATCCTTGTCCTCCTCACCAGCATAAGATGATGAACGTGATGATGGAGTTGATGAGTGACACAGAGTGGCCTCAGTAACTGGCAAATGGACTGGGTCTGATTTGGCGTCTGACTTGTGGAGGTCATCCAGTGGTTTTGTAGATAATCTAGTTTCAGTCACACTAAAGTTCAAGGTTGGCAGAGAGAGAGCAGCCCCAGTTCTGGGCAAGCTAGACACAGGAACCTTATCCAATGTCAGCACAGAAGTAACTGAATCTTTACTTACATTTTCAGCCTTGGAATTATCTTTATTAGTAAACACAGAATTGGCTGAATCTCTAGTAATATCTGTAGGCTTGATATCTTTATCTGTAAATATAGAAATGGCTGAATCTTTAGTAATATATGTAGATTTGATATCTTTCTCTGTAAATATAGATATAGCTGAATCTTCTGGAACTTCTTTAGGCTTGATATCTTTATCTGCAAGTACAGAAACAGCTGAATCTGTAGATATATGTTCAGTTCTGGTATTGGCAACCAATACAGGTGAATCTTTAGCAACTGACTCATCAACAGCAACTGGAGGCAACGTTCTATTTGCAGAAGATAACTGGCTGAAGTTTGCACCTGTAGTTGTGAATGAAGATATGCCCAAGTGGTCAGGACTAGCAGATGGTCTGCCAGATAGGACTTGAGTGGGATGTGAGGCGGAGGAGCCAGGGAAGTCTGTTGGTGAAGCCAGGTTTATCTGCAGGAGGCTTTCCTGGGGAACCAGCTTCTGCAGTTTGGAGACAGCAGTTAGCAGAGCGGCTCGCTCTAGCTCTAGAACTTGGATGTGTGACTTCAGCTTGTCCCGCTCCACCTGGTTAGCAAGCATGCTCTCCTCTAGGCTCTCCCTGTGTGACTCCACTTGCTGAAAGCATGAAAGGACATTTGGTTAAAATATAAAATAAAGGGTACTAACTCTCCCTTTGTGTTCTTTTTCCTCTTCTTTCCTCTACTCCTAGAATGCTTCGCGGGGTCAGGGCGGGAAGAGATCTCTGGAACGGGCTTTTCTGTTCCCTTCATATAAGTACTTTCAGTGTTTCTGAGATTTCTGAGGTCCATGTTCTGCATGGTCGACCTCTGGCTCTTTTACCATTGTATCTGTATAACAGAGCTCTCTGTGATGCCCGTTATGATGCCAATCTTGTTACATGACCAAACCCTTTCATTTGTGTTCACCAGCCGTAAACTCCAGTAAAAAGATCTGAATATTTGTCCTCTTCGGGACCTAGGTCTTTTTTTTTTTTTTTTAAATCTCAATTTCCAGAACTTCCTTCTGACAGATAGGCTACACAGCTTTGTATACAGACTGTTGGTTCCTGACCTCTCTGACAGATAGGCTACACAGCTTTGTATACAGACTGTTGGTTCCTGACCTCTCTGACAGATAGGCTACACAGCTTTGTATACAGACTGTTGGTTCCTGACCTCTCTGACAGATAGGCTACACAGCTTTGTATACAGACTGTTGGTTCCTGACCTCTCTGACAGATAGGCTACACAGCTTTGTATACAGACTGTTGGTTCCTGACCTCTCTGACAGATAGGCTACACAGCTTTGTATACAGACTGTTGGTTCCTGACCTCTCTGACAGATAGGCTACACAGCTTTGTATACAGACTGTTGGTTCCTGACCTCTCTGACAGATAGGCTACACAGCTTTGTATACAGACTGTTGGTTCCTGACCTCTCTGACAGATAGGCTACACAGCTTTGTATACAGACTGTTGGTTCCTGACCTCTCTGACAGATAGGCTACACAGCTTTGTATACAGACTGTTGGTTCCTGACCTCTCTGACAGATAGGCTACACAGCTTTGTATATAGACTGTTGGTTCCTGACCTCTCTGACAGATAGGCTACACAGCTTTGTATACAGACTGTTGGTTCCTGACCTCTCTGACAGATAGGCTACACAGCTTTTTATACAGACTGTTGGTTCCTGACCTCTCTGACAGATAGGCTACACAGCTTTGTATACTGACTGTTGGTTCCTGACCTCTCTGATAGATGGGCTACACAGCTTTGTATACAGACTGTTGGTTCCTGACCTCTCTGACAGATGCACTAGGAAACATTCCAGAGTAGTTGCCTTTCACAATATGGGGGACAGAGGATCTATTCTTGACTTTTTTCTTCTTCTTTTCCCTTCCCATAATGAGAGCCACAGAACCAACACATGGATACAATCTCAAACGATGCCACTCTAATGCTTCAGGCCAATATTATCAAACTTTTGTCATGAACATTCTGTACACATGGAGATCAACATGAGGTCTGGGAAGATCAGCTCTATAACAGGCCATTGACACATAAGACATTCACATGTGATCTGCATGGCTACCATTCTTCTGCTTTGTTGGGCCCCAACAAGCAAGTCATAAGAGGCGGTTAATAAGGGTTGCTGCCTTCAAAGTCTGAGTGCATCTGCCTGAGAGGTGAGTAACCACTAGCCTGCACATAAATAAGCCAGGTCTGTAAAACAGATGTGCACACAACTCAGGTTCTGGAACAAGACCAAAGTCCAGAAGTGGACGATAATGATCATTATATGATGATTGTAATAATGATGATTATGATGACTGTGATGATGCTGATCATGAAAATGGCGATGGTGATCATTATAAATGGTGACTGTGATGTTGGTGATGGTGATATAGACTGTGCACGAGCCACATCCAGACAGTGTCCTGCGGGCAATGAATGCAGAACTATGCAAGCATTAACAGAACATTCTCACCTGCAGCTTCTCTACCAGCTCCTGATTCTGGTTTTTAAGAGCCCGGTTCTGGTTCTCCAACCGGTACAGCATTTCTAGATCAATAGACATCCGTCTTTTCTCTATCCTTGGAAACCGTGCCTCTGTAGTGGTGCCAGTATCTTGTTTCTGAATCTGCTGCTGCTGCTGCTGCTGCTGCTGATGTTGCCGTGTTGAAGAAAACGTGATCTCCTCACTGAGAACGTAGTACTCAACTTCGTACGCCCGAAGTTCTCTTTCAACGTCCAGCTCAAATGCCTGAAAGTTATTTGAAAAAAGCAAAAATTAAATTGTCAGTTGCTCTCAGCTTTTCTGTCTTTTGAAAGTTTAACACTTTCTCCTCGAGAAGCTACCAAACAGTACATCCGGTCTGTACCACTTCCCCATAGAAGCCCCTTTCCTGACTCATTATAGAGACATGTTTAGAAGACATTTAACTAGCATAATTCACTGTATCTGCATCTGTACAAATGTTTATCATGATAGGGGATGATCAAAATAACTAAAAACAGCACTGGGGTCAAAAAGCTGAAGTGGGGGGGGGGGGGGGGGGTTGTGTTCCCTTTAAAGAAAATGGCTTTATTTCTAGACATTTTCCCACCAGCTACAGTGGTTACCGGGCAATCAGGTCACTGGGTCAAGTAAGGGTCATGCTATAATTAGTTTACACGCCACAAAAGATGTCAGCCAGTTGATTCCATGCTGCATTGTTTGGGTTGACTACTCTCCTTTCTCTGCAGTTATCTCCCCAGTACATACAATACAATGTGAATGTCTGTACAATTCCAGCTAAACCTTAATTATATGCCTTTTATGACATGTTTGCTAAGGGGCAGTGGCTCTAATACTCAATCGGCAGTGAGGCCACAGAACCCACACAGGGAAGAGACCAGAACAACAGAAACTCTCACTTGATTGATGATGCGTTCCATCTGCACCTGGACCATCTCAGGCAATGTTATCTTGAGAAAGTCCACGATGCTTTCAAAGGTATCACACTGCAGAATCAGGGCTCGGTGGTTGCCAATGAGCATCAGGGCCACCTTGAACAAGGCATCAATTCCTTGCACGAAGACCATATCTGTGGAATCATGAATAACTATGTCTGAACTCCATAGTTGTGGGTTCGGGCTATACAATAAATATCGTTAATGAAGATACTTTGGGGAGGGGTTTGCCTAGATGGTCATGCATCTTAGTAAACCTATCCTGCAGTGAGGCGTTGTTGTCATTTGGAGATCACAGGTTTTATTCTCAGCATGGTAACATTAGCTTCCAATTTTCATGTGTGTCCTTCCATCTTTCTGCAACTTTCTGTAAGTATCAATCAATATACATCTATCTGTCTATTATACATACTACTGAAGTAGAAATAAACTTCGAAATGAGGTGTCATTAATTGTAACGAATCTCTCATGGCCTACATGGTACATAACTTTGTAATCTCCTCTGTTAGTTGTAGTAACCTCTTATCTTCTCAGATGAATGGTCTCCAAATCTTTAAAATAAATAACATTAATGCAAACAAGTGTTTGTTTATGTTAACATCTTGTAGACAACATGATACTTCTCAGCCTTTGTTTATATTAACATCTTGTAGACAACATGATACTTCTTAGTGTTTGTTTATATTACCATCTAGTAGACAACATGATACGTTTCAGTGTTTTTTTATGTTAACATCTTGTAGATAACATGATACGTCTTAGTGTTTTTTTATGATAACATCTTGTAGACAACAAGATACATCTTCATGCTTTTTTATGCTAACATCTTGTAGATAACATGATATGTCTTAGTGTTTGTTTATGTTAACATCTTGTAGACAACATGATACTTCTCAGCCTTTGTTTATATTAACATCTTGTAGATAACATGATACTTCTCAGCCTTTGTTTATATTAACATCTTGTAGACAACATGATACTTCTCAGCCTTTGTTTATATTAACATCTTGTAGATAACATGATACTTCTCAGCCTTTGTTTATATTAACATCTTGTAGACAACATGATACTTCTCAGCCTTTGTTTATATTAACATCTTGTAGACAACATGATACTTCTTAGCCTTTGTTTATATTAACATCTTGTAGATAACATGATACTTCTCAGCCTTTGTTTATATTAACATCTTGTAGACAACATGATACTTCTCAGCCTTTGTTTATATTAACATCTTGTAGACAACTTGATACTTCTTAGTGTGTGTTTATGTTAACATCTTGTAGACAACATGATACGTTTTAGTGTTTTTTTTATGTTAACATCTTGTAGTTAACATGATACGTCTTAGTGTTTTTTTATGTTAACATCTTGTAGACAACATGATACTTCCCAACCTTTGTTTATATTAACATCTTGTAGATAACATGATACTTCTCAGCCTTTGTTTATATTACCATCTTGTAGACAACATGATACTTCTTAGTGTTTGTTTATATTACCATCTTGTAGACAACATGATACGTTTTAGTGTTTTTTTATGTTAACATCTTGTAGACAACTTGATACTTCTTAGTGTGTGTTTATGTTGGTCAGTAGCCAGTGGCAGAGAGAGTGGGGCTTCAAAAATAAAGCACAGAAACAAACATTGGGGCTTCAATACAGAAGCACAGAAACAAACAGTGGGGCTTCAATACAGAAGCACAGAAACAAACAGTAAGGCTTCAATACAGAAGCACAGAAACAAACAGTAAGGCTTCAATACAGAAGCACAGAAACAAACAGTAAGGCTTCAATACAGAAGCACAGAAACAAACAGTAAGGCTTCAATACAGAAGCACAGAAACAAACAGTGGGGCTTCAATACAGAAGCACAGAAACAAACAGTGAGGCTTCAATACAGAAGCACAGAAACAAACAGTGGGGCTTCAATGCAGAAGCACAGAAACAAACAGTAAGGCTTCAATACAGAAGCACAGAAACAAACAGTGAGGCTTCAATACAGAAGCACAGTAACAAACATTGGGGCTTCAATACAGAAGCACAGAAACAAACAGTTGGGCTTCAATACAGAAACACAGAAACAAACAGTGAGGCTTCAATACAGACGCACAGAAACAAACAGTAAGGCTTCAATACAGAAGCACAGAAACAAACATTGGGGCTTCAATACAGAAGCACAGAAACAAACAGTGGGGCTTCAATACAGAAGCACAGAAACAAACAGTAAGGCTTCAATACAGAAGCACAGAAACAAACAGTAAGGCTTCAATACAGAAGCACAGAAACAAACAGTAAGGCTTCAATACAGAAGCACAGAAACAAACAGTAAGGCTTCAATACAGAAGCACAGAAACAAACAGTGGGGCTTCAATACAGAAGCACAGAAACAAACAGTGAGGCTTCAATACAGAAGCACAGAAACAAACAGTGGGGCTTCAATGCAGAAGCACAGAAACAAACAGTAAGGCTTCAATACAGAAGCACAGAAACAAACAGTGAGGCTTCAATACAGAAGCACAGTAACAAACATTGGGGCTTCAATACAGAAGCACAGAAACAAACAGTAAGGCTTCAATACAGAAGCACAGAAACAAACAGTGAGGCTTCAATACAGAAGCACAGTAACAAACATTGGGGCTTCAATACAGAAGCACAGAAACAAACAGTTGGGCTTCAATACAGAAACACAGAAACAAACAGTGAGGCTTCAATACAGACGCACAGAAACAAACAGTAAGGCTTCAATACAGAAGCACAGAAACAAACATTGGGGCTTCAATACAGAAGCACAGAAACAAACAGTGGGGCTTCAATACAGAAGCACAGAAACAAACAGTAAGGCTTCAATACAGAAGCACAGAAACAAACAGTAAGGCTTCAATACAGAAGCACAGAAACAAACAGTAAGGCTTCAATACAGAAGCACAGAAACAAACAGTAAGGCTTCAATACAGAAGCACAGAAACAAACAGTGGGGCTTCAATACAGAAGCACAGAAACAAACAGTGAGGCTTCAATACAGAAGCACAGAAACAAACAGTGGGGCTTCAATGCAGAAGCACAGAAACAAACAGTAAGGCTTCAATACAGAAGCACAGAAACAAACAGTGAGGCTTCAATACAGAAGCACAGTAACAAACATTGGGGCTTCAATACAGAAGCACAGAAACAAACAGTTGGGCTTCAATACAGAAACACAGAAACAAACAGTGAGGCTTCAATACAGACGCACAGAAACAAACAGTAAGGCTTCAATACAGAAGCACAGAAACAAACAGTGGGGCTTTAATACAGAAGCACAGAAACAAACAGTGAGGCTTCAATACAGAAGCACAGAAACAAACAGTGAGGCTTCAATACAGAAGCACAGAAACAAACAGTGAGGCTTCAATACAGAAGCACAGAAACAAACATTGGGGCTTCAATACAGAAGCACAGAAACAAACAGTGGGGCTTCAATACAGAAGCACAGAAACAAACAGTAAGGCTTCAATACAGAAGCACAGAAACAAACAGTAAGGCTTCAATACAGAAGCACAGAAACAAACAGTGGGGCTTCAATACAGAAGCACAGAAACAAACAGTGAGGCTTCAATACAGAAGCACAGAAACAAACAGTGGGGCTTCAATACAGAAGCACAGAAACAAACAGTGAGGCTTCAATACAGAAGCACAGAAACAAACAGTGAGGCTTCAATACAGAAGCACAGAAACAAACAGTGGGGCTTCAATACAGAAGCACAGAAACAAACAGTGGGGCTTCAATACAGAAGCACAGAAACAAACAGTGAGGCTTCAATACAGAAGCACAGAAACAAACAGTGGGGCTTCAATACAGAAGCACAGAAACAAACAGTAAGGCTTCAATACAGAAGCACAGAAACAAACAGTGAGGCTTCAATACAGAAGCACAGAAACAAACAGTGGGGCTTCAATACAGAAGCACAGAAACAAACAGTGAGGCTTCAATACAGAAGCACTGAAACAAACAGTGGGGCTTCAATACAGAAGCACAGAAACAAACAGTGAGGCTTCAATACAGAAGCACAGAAACAAACAGTGGGGTTTCAATACAGAAGCACAGAAACAAACAGTGAGGCTTCAATACAGAAGCACAGAAACAAACAGTGAGGCTTCAATACAGAAGCACAGAAACAAACAGTGGGGCTTCAATACAGAAGCACAGAAACAAACAGTGAGGCTTCAATACAGAAGCACAGAAACAAACAGTAAGGCTTCAATACAGAAGCACAGAAACAAACAGTGAGGCTTCAATACAGAAGCACAGAAACAAACAGTGGGGCTTCAATACAGAAGCACAGAAACAAACAGTGGGGTTTCAATACAGAAGCACAGAAACAAACAGTGGGGCTTCAATACAGAAGCACAGAAACAAACAGTGGGGCTTCAATACAGAAGCACAGAAACAAACAGTGGGGCTTCAATACAGAAGCCACACGTATTATTATAGAATCAGATTAGTAAAGCATGCGCAGGGAGGTAGAGTCAGGTTTTCTTAGTATGGAAGACATTACATGAACAAAAAGAAGTATTAGGTTGTCTACAAGATATTCTCTTTCATCCTATGCTTATAACATGAAGCATCTAGACAAGATATTAACAACACAACAGAAATTTTAAAAAAGACGTTTTAAAAAGACGTTAACACACACAAAAAACAACACAAACAAACTAAAAAGTATCAAGCTGTCCACAAGATGTTAACATAAACGAAAGAAATAGCAAGTTCCTACGAGATATCAATATTGAAAAAAAAATCTGATACATTATTTAACAATTAGATCAAAATATAATTAAACACAAAATATGAATATTTATATTTTCCACTTAAATTAATAAATCACATTGTTCCACAGTGAGGAAGAGGAGAAGGAGGTGAAGAAGAAAAAAATATCAGAAGGAGAAGGAAATAAAAAAGAAAAAAGATGAAGAGGCTGAGGAAGCATGGAGGAGGAGACAGAAGAGGAGGAGAATACAACCGTAGATGGATAGTCAATGCCTGATCTTTAAAACGTTTTTTATGTACATTTAGTTTCATATTTAATCTTATAAATTTAAACTGGCATAAACTGTCTTGTCATTTCAGCTGTACTTACCAAAAACTCTGGCAACAAAACCCAAAGGAAACTGAGAAGCAAACAATGTGAGGAACCAAGGAGCAGCATAGAGTGTCGGGGAGATTTCATGGGCTTCAAAGTGATCATAGACATCTTTGTAGTGGTCATGAAGAAGCCTGGTCAGCTGGTAGAGCTTCAGCTGTGTAACAAATGTGTCACAAATATAACAATAATAACAAACTGTTTACAGTGTCATTACTGTCTGAATCTACCGCTTGCAATTTTAGCTGTGTAGGTTCTTGAGACTGAAGATAAAGTGCCAAAATGCTAGTGCAGTTGCCACTCGCTGTGCAAGTTCAGTTTTTTCCTCTCATAGAAGAAATTCTATTGATTTACCAAGGATGTAAACCTGGGTCTCCCAAAAAGAGGGTGGCATTCTTAACCATTTGGCCAGCTGCTTCTTATCATTAATACAGATGAGTAAAATACAAAATTCACAACAAATGTAAAATGATGGCAGACATTTGTTTAGTGGGCATGAAGAAGATGGTAGACTTTCAGCTGTACACAGACTGCATTACAAATATAACAGAATTATTGTAACAAATGTAACAGTTATGCTACAAATATAACAGCTTCACAGGGGGTACTGAAATGTGATGCTGCCAGAAAAACAGTAGCAGTTCAACAAAGACAAACCACAAAAAAACATGCAGCCTGACTTTCCTGCCCACACTACCTGAGAACACCCCATGACAACACTGACCTCAGCGATCACTTATGTACCCAAGAATCCAGCCCAACTTCCCTGCCTACACTACCTGAGAACATCCCATAACAACACTGACCTCAGCAATCACTTATGTACTCAAGAATCCAGCCCAACTTCCCTGCCTACACTACCTGAGAACATCCCATAACAACACTGACCTCAGCAATCACTTATGTAGCCAAGAATCCAGCCCAACTTCCCTGCCTACACTACCTGAGAACATCCCATAACAACACTGACCTCAGCAATCACTTATGTAGCCAAGAATCCAGCCCAACTTCCCTGCCTACACTACCTGAGAACACCCCATAACAACACTGACCTCAGCAATCACTTATGTACTCAAGAATCCAGCCCAACTTCCCTGCCTACACTACCTGAGAACATCCCATAACAACACTGACCTCAGCAATCACTTATGTAGCCAAGAATCCAGCCCAACTTCCCTGCCTACACTACCTGAGAACATCCCATAACAACACTGACCTCAGCAATCACTTATGTAGCCAAGAATCCAGCCCAACTTCCCTGCCTACACTACCTGAGAACACCCCATAACAACACTGACCTCAGCAATCACTTATGTAGCCAAGAATCCAGCCCAACTTCCCTGCCTACACTACCTGAGAACATCCCATAACAACACTGACCTCAGCAATCACTTATGTAGCCAAGAATCCAGCCCAACTTTCCTGCCTACACTACCTGAGAACATCCCATAACAACACTGACCTCAGCAATCACTTATGTACTCAAGAATCCAGCCCAACTTCCCTGCCTACACTACCTGAGAACATCCCATAACAACACTGACCTCAGCAATCACTTATGTAGCCAAGAATCCAGCCCAACTTCCCTGCCTACACTACCTGAGAACATCCCATAACAACACTGACCTCAGCAATCACTTATGTAGCCAAGAATCCAGCCCAACTTCCCTGCCTACACTACCTGAGAACATCCCATAACAACACTGACCTCAGCAATCACTTATGTACTCAAGAATCCAGCCCAACTTCCCTGCCTACACTACCTGAGAACATCCCATAACAACACTGACCTCAGCAATCACTTATGTACTCAAGAATCCAGCCCAACTTCCCTGCCCACAACCCCGGAGAACATCCCATGACAACACTGACCTCAGCAATCACTTATGTACCTAAAAATCCAGCTCTACATACAGCAGAGGAAAGGACTGCTCATCTTTAACAGCAAACAACAAGTACCAACTCTGAAGGTACCAGTAGCAATTTGATTGTATGTTCGTCTTGCCTTTCCTCAGAGTGTGGAGTGTCAGTCAAACCCGCTGGTCACTCTCTGCTGCACTGTTCTCTTCGTAATGTGATGATCTAATTGTGCCTCAACACCGTTCACTCGCTCACTTGACTAAGTGATGAAAAAAAAATAAACAGAAATACCTGCAGAGCCGTCATATTTGGGCGGAACTGCTTCCGTAGGCCAAGTCCATACATCAGGTACTTGAGTACGTGAAAGGCGGATATCTCCTCCATCTATAAATAGTGAAAGATTTCATCATTTGTTTATGTACTATGGTTAGCTGGATGATGTAGACAGGTACAAGGCGGCTTCAAATGAAAACCTCCAAAGTGTGGTTGAAAGTACAATAACTAAGCAGTTGTCTTGTAACCTGTCAATGCTGTTGTTGCTAAGGATATCAAAAGTGTTAAGCACATACCATCATGCTTCAGATGAACAAGATAATGCCATAATGATATTTTAAATGCCCTCTTCTGGCATATACCAAAGAGGAGCAGCGTTGTGTTATCTGTGTTTTGACCAGTGATGGTGTGAAACCTCTAGACATTCAGCTGGCAAATGAAAGTCCTGTGTGGTGATTCATGTATTTTAAAGAATGAGTGCAGCAGGAAGTTTCGAAACGGCTTGACTTCTGTGACAGACTGTTCATAACTGGGTCAGACACACCGTGCTGGAGATACAATGCAGCCAACTTTCTTTCTGGAGAAGGCACATGATTTCTTCATCTTCTTCTACTTCTTCTTCTTTAGTTCTGTTCTGGCTTTTGACATCAGGTTTTCAAGAGGCATCAGGTACAAGCCTTGGTATATGCTTTGTAGATGCTGGTATTTACAGCCTAGAATATTCCATCTATCTATCGCGTGCATGGTCAACCTTTAGATCTGCTTCCATCATGTTAAGTAACAGGGCTTTCTGTGGTGCACCACCTGGTGGTGGTCTAGACATATGTCTGAACCATTTGATCTGTTCTCTCTTGATGTAGCTGAGCACTGTTTCTACCCTAAAGTGTTTCCATGTGTTATTGTCATTTCTGATCCTGACTCTTATAGTTACACTTAGGATTCGTAGTGAATATTTAATTTCTGTTCTAAATTTGTGTCCTTTTATTGTTGCTGTCCACACCTTGTTTATTGGTAACATATTGTAGGATTGCCATCTTCTTGTTCTTCTTTCTTTTTTTTGGGTCATCTCACTGTTACCAGGTTGTAGCTCAGGACTCCCATCACTGGCTGTATATACCACTGTGGCAGTGTAGGTAGGGAAGTCTTTTTGCTTGAGGATTTAGGGCCACGTGGTTAGTGCTGTCCCTATGGACTTTGCAGGTTAGGATTTTATTTTTGCCCTCAACAGAAAAAAATCCCCAACCTCACTAAAGATTTGAACCTAGGTTTCTCCGTAAGAGAGCCCTGCATTCTTAACCATTCCGCCAGCCACTCCTCATAACGGCAAATGCACAAGACAAAAGTGATTTCCAGCCTGTGGGATGAGGTAACAAGTAAACTGGAAGATGTTGAAAACCTGTATGCAGCGAGAAGTGTCTGTGGGCTCAAGGAAGGGGATATCTATCCAGATGAACCTAGCGCTGGGCTCGGCCAGGGTTGAAATACTGTCCACGACACATCATGCTGACTGAATGATCAGACAGTCAACAGCAACCGGTGACCCAATAACATTCTGTGTTATGGAATGATGATGATGATGATGACGACGATAGTGATAATTAGATCATTATGTTGATCTACTGTATTTATGAGATGCTGATGATGAAAGACAGTGATGCTTACGTGCATGAGCAGCAGGCTGGCGATGAAAGACAGTGATGCTTACGTGCATGAGCAGCATGACGACGATGAAAGACAGTGAAGCTTACATGCATGAGCAGCATGCCGACGATGAAAGATAGTGATGCTTACGTGCATGAGCAGCACGCCGACGATGAAAGACAGCCCCTGGCAGTAGCCGACCTCAGTGTCCAGAAGACTGTAGGCCTTCAGCAAGTTGAACAGCTCTAGCTGGCCAGGGCCCAGGGGTGTGGAGAAATATGGGTGGTTGGGGAATGTCCGTCCTGAAGATGAGAAACATTGCATGAAATTAACCAGGGATGTGAGGAAATATGGGTGGTTTGGGAATGTTCAGCTTGTATACAAAAATCACTGCATGACATTAATCAGGGATGTGGAAAAATATGGGTGGTTGGGGAATGTTCAGCTTGTATACAAGAATCACTGCATGACATTAACCAGGGATGTGGAGAAGTATGGGTGGTTGGGGAATGTTTAGCTTGTATACAAGAATCATTGCATGACATTAACCAGGGGTGTGGAGAAGTATGGGTGGTAGGGGAATGTTCAGCTTGTATACAAGAATCACTGCATGACATTAACTAGGCATATAAAATGAAATGAAGAAGAAAACTGGCAGCAGGTTAAATAGAGGAAAATTGTGGATCAGTCGGACTGAGGACATTATTCAGCAGGTGTGTTCACTTAAGGACACAGAACCTGGTAAGGAACAGGTACAAGTACCAGCAGATTGTTGTACGACCTTTCTGTTTGCATCTGACTTGACAGAAAATGCAGACAAGAAAGTTTGGCTGCTGTGGAGGCAGAAGTGCAGGTTTTGATTTTCAAGAACTCTCTGGAGGTGGCTACTGTCATTTACACACATGGGTCTGTGAGTCACCATTTGAGAAGCTCTTGGGCTTTTACAACCCAGGCTGGAGTTGTGAAGCAAGATTCTGGTGCTGTTGCTTGGACTACAGTTTGACTATGGAGGTCATGGCAGTGACCAAAGCAATAACATGGCTGGAGACACAAACCTTTTCCTGTGCATGCCTTCTCTGTGACCTAATGAGTATACTTAGGAAGAGACAGGCTGGGTCCAAAGACAGTGTTTGGAGTCTCTGAAGTGGCCAAGGTTGAAAAATATCAGTTTCATATTTGTGCCAGGGCACACAGGCATGCGAGGAAATAAATAAGCTGATAAACGTAAAGCTACCATGGAGGGTGGACGAGCAAATGACAAGGCTGATATTCTAAATGCTCTACAAGAAGTAAGTGTTACGACACGCTTGGTGACTTCAGAATGTGTCTTTCCTCAAGCTACTTTTTTTTCTAAGTATTTTAAAGTATAGAGAAAAATATGGTTTTGGATATATCCTAAATCTAAGTCGACTACCAGAACAAACCTATTTAATGCTCTTGAACTGCTGGTGATATCAAACACTGAGACTCTTTCCCAGACGTAAAGTGTAAAGGTACAAATAAAAATGGGCAGGAAGACCAGTGAAATTGAAAGCTTAGACCTAGTGGCTAGAGATTTTGCTTGTAGAACTGAGGTGTCAGATAATTATCTCCTAGCCAGACCTTTAGGAGCAGAGAACTCAGGCTTATTGTGATTATCCACGAGTTACCCCACGAGTGCAGGTCAGATCGGCCAGTACTGACATGCTGGAGGTGTTAGCAGACAGAACCTGGCAGGCTGAAGAAGGGATGGAAGGTGTGACTTTGCTTATGAGCTCTGGCCAGCTTGATGGACCAGGAGAATGTAACCATGGAAATGCAAACATGCATTGTAAAGTCCTGACTGACAGTGAATAGACCTGCCCACAAGGAGGAGCTGTGACATCCTTGAATGAGAGTGGTTTTAGGAGTCATGTAGGAGGAGCTTAGAAGAAGTTATAAAAGGGTGGACTAGGGCTGGGAAGTGAGACTCTGTGCTATCAGCACATGTCATCTGTTGGGCTTAAACCCTGAGCTTGAGACAGATCTTTTGGCATTGTGTTTTCATTTTCCAAGTAAACGTAACTATTTCCAACTTTTATTTTGTGATAGAAATCCCAACTGTCTCTTTGCTCAAGTGTGTGTCTTCATTACTTTGTAGTACTCCTTAGTGGATATTTCTCCATTCTCGAAGGGCACTGTCAAATTGCTTTATATCATAATTGATATTGTCATGAATGTTTTTCGTGCACATGTGTTTCAATGTTGTATAACTTAAATGTCGATGTTACCACTGAAATTTAATTAACTAGCATTTTTCTGAAATCACAAGCTTGAAGATAATTTTGGCATCCTTTCATGTGTGGTTAATTTGAATCTATATTTCTTTACATATAGGTGAACACACTGAAATATGTTTAACTCCCAGGAGGCTAATGCAGAGATTGATCCTGGAGATCTTAGATTTATTTGATATTGCTTGATATAGCCCCAGAAATAGTTATCATTCTGGGGCGCCTATTATTCCAAGCATTGATTCCAGAACTTTTTCTGTCAAACTGATTGTCATTTTGAGTCTGCATGAGAGATGACATCAGACAGAAGACTCAACTATCATTACAGGACGTGAGTAGAGGAAGGCAGGAAATGTAACGACTACAATGTGAGACGAAGTCTTTCCAGACTGGACAGAATGTGAATATGAGGAGGAGGTTAAATGTTTTATTAGAATAGATATGTCTGGTGTAAGTCTAAATACTACACATGTGCGCTTATTTCTTTACCACAGTTCCCACATTGGGCAGGCATAAGTCGGCATCCAATTTTTGCCGACTGTCTGCGTGTAATGACCTGCTTGAAGCAGCCAGGACGACAAACTGGAAAAGGATAGGCAGGGTCTCAAATTGAGAACTGCCCTAGGTTTATTTTCTCCAAATTTGTGAGTTATGTGTAACTTTTATATGAATTATTTTCATCAGTAACACCATCTTCCCTCTACTAGCCTAAACACGTTCACTTTATTTTTGGTTAGATTTATTCATGTTATAAAATAGTTTAGTAAATTGTGTACTTAGGTTCAAGTGTCTTTGTGCATACTAGTTTACGTCAGCTCTCAATTATGTAAATCACTTGATGGGAGCTTTTATTACAAATTAATACCAGGAGAGGAAAAAGTCGGAGGGGTTAACTGTGTATCTTGATATTATCTCACTGGGTTCATCTTGATATATCTCTATACCTTCTCCTACTATGGATACAAATACAGCTACTTTCATTTGAGGGAACAAAACCAACAGAGAACAGGGGTGGTCAGTCGCTACACTCTGCAAGATTTACTGAGGAAGGGATTCAAGCAGTTATGGACTGAATGGTTCGATATACAAAAAAGATAATCTGTAAACTGACTAACTAGCCAGGGATATACAGAAATATGAGGCAATGTCTGGCCTGCACACAAGAATCATTGCAGGCAAATAACCACGGATGTCGAGAAGAATGAGGGAATGTCTGGTCTGCACACAAGAATCATTGCAGGCAAATAACCACGGATGTGGAGAAGAATGAGGGAATGTCTGGCCTGCACACAAGAATCATTACAGGCAAATAACCACGAATGTGGAGAAGAATGAGGGAATGTCTGGCCTGCACACAAGAATCATTGCAGGCAAATAACCACGGATGTGGAGAAGAATGAGGGAATGTCTGGTCTGCACACAAGAATCATTGCAGGCAAATAACCACGGATGTGGAGAAGAATGAGGGAATGTCTGGCCTGCACACAAGAATCATTGCAGGCAAATAACCACGGATGTGGAGAAGAATGAGGGAATGTCTGGCCTGCACACAAGAATCATTGCAGGCAAATAACCACGGATGTGGAGAAGAATGAGGGAATGTCTGGCCTGCACACAAGAATCATTGCAGGCAAATAACCACGGACGGATGTGGAGAAGAATGAGGGAATGTCTGGCCTGCACACAAGAATCATTGCAGGCAAATAACCACGGATGTGGAGAAGAATGAGGGAATGTCTGGCCTGCACACAAGAATCATTGCAGGCAAATAACCACGGATGTGGATAAGAATGAGGAAATGTCTGGCCTGCACACAAGAATCATTGCAGGCAAATAACCACGGATGTGGAGAAGAATGAGGGAATGTCTGGCCTGCACACAAGAATCATTGCAGGCAAATAACCACGGATGTGGAGAAGAATGAGGGAATGTCTGGCCTGCACACAAGAATCATTGCAGGCAAATAACCACGGATGTGGATAAGAATGAGGGAATGTCTGGCCTGCACACAAGAATCATTGCAGGCAAATAACCACGGATGTGGAGAAGAATGAGGGAATGTCTGGCCTGCACACAAGAATCATTGCAGGCAAATAACCACGGATGTGGAGAAGAATGAGGGAATGTCTGGCCTGCACACAAGAATCATTGCAGGCAAAAAACCACGGATGTCGAGAAGAATGAGGGAATGTCTGGCCTGCACACAAGAATCATTGCAGGCAAATAACCACGGATGTGGAGAAGAATGAGGGAATGTCTGGCCTGCACACAAGAATCATTGCAGGCAAATAACCACGGATGTGGAGAAGAATGAGGGAATGTCTGGCCTGCACACAAGAATCATTGCAGGCAAATAACCACGGATGTGGAGAAGAATGAGGGAATGTCTTGCCTGTATGCAAGAATCACTGCATAGCACTGACTTTGTTTATTCATCCATCACAAGTAATCAGGACCACTCTTTAGCATTAACTAGGAATATACAGAAATAGGTGGGAATGTCTGGTCTGCATAAAAGAATCGTTGCAGGCGAATATCCAGGTATATACAGAAATATGGGGGAAATGTCCGGCCTGCATACAAGAATTATTCAATGATATTAATTATTACTTAGTTTGGTTTGTACAGAATAACTTTTATGACAATTATTTACAACATTATTACAGGTTTTTTTTTTTCTGTACCTATCCTTCATTTTTCTTCCAACATGGTACTTCAAAGTACCACCTCCATAGAGACTGTGCTGCTGAGCTCTCTTCCCCTTTCCAAGCTCAGAAACCAGTGGGTTATGTAAGAACAGTACTGGAACTTTACAGCCACAAAGAGAAATATTTTCTCCTTTCTTAGCGTTTATGAGCTGTATACTCTGGTGGAAAGTTCTTGTTGTTCATCCACTTCTGGACTTTGCTTTTGTTCCAGAACTTCAGTTTTGCATGCACATCCATTTTGCAGATTTGGTTTACTTGTATGCAGACTGTTGGTTCCTCATCTCTCAGGCAGATGCAATCTTTCAAAGGAAAAATCTCTAATTAGTTGCTTTTACATACCATGCAAAATAAGGAACCGCGGCATTAAGTAAAGCTTTCAAGAAATGATGACCAACTTGCACGACACATTAGAAAGAGCACCCCCCCCCCCCCCCCCCCCCCCAACCAACAGTCTGATAATGTAACTTTAGGAAGTGAGGGAGAAGAGGACGACTCACCAAGATCTATCAGGATGGCATGCTGGTGTGTGGTCAGCTGTTTGAGCAGATCATCATAGTTGGCATCACTGTATGAGTTGTCTGATGCACTGCCTCCCATTTGTTGCCGCTGCTGGATCAGAAATAGCCAGATCTGGCCCCTCAATGAGCGTGGCACTCCTTCATGTAACAGAGACAGCCATTGTTTATTTTTACAACTATACTTCACTGGGTCAATGTGATTTCAAAGGCAACAGAACAAGAGCTGTAGGAAAAAAATCTACATTACACTCTCCTGCTGCTGCTTCTTCTACTTCTTCTTCCTTTTCCTTCTTCTTTTACTTCTTCTTCTTTCTTTTTTCTTCTTCTCCTTCTGTTTCTTTTTCCTTCTTATTCTTTTTCCTTTTTCATTTTCTTCTTCTTCTTCTTCTTTTTCCTTTTTTTTTCTTCTTCTTTTTCCTCCTCCTTCTTCTTTTTCTGGTACTGTACAGGAGCGTTTGAGTTCTACTGATCCCCCATGATCATTACTGACAGTTGTTTATCTACTGGTAGTCTCCCATGTCAAACAGGTCATCGTTGCATGGGTTTTGAGGCCCCATTTAGGGGACAGGAAGGGAATGAAGAGGTGATCCACTGTGCCCCTAATAAGTATGTCATAAAAGTTGACATTTGCGCTAGATTACGTACTAGACTTTTAGGACATGTTTGTCAGATATGGGGGGGGGGGGGGGGGGGGGGGGGGGGGGGGTTGGGGAGAGGTGTGTTTCTCAGTGTGTGTGTGTGTGTGTGTGTGCATGCATGCATATGCACACACGCGTATGCATGCATGTACGTGTGTACATATGTAAAGGGGGTCCCAATACATACACAGAAAACAGAGCAGAAAAACCAACTCTCCTATTAGCAAATCTTGATATTACTAACACCATGTCAGCAGTTGCACTGAAAACTAGAGTAACCCACAAGCTAGGTTATATTCTGTGGATGAGTACATCACTGACTCTTGTGCTAAAGTTGTATTATAGGAGTTCTGCCAGGCACGGTTTGGTCAGAAGGAGCTCTCACAAAAATGGCCAAGTTCATTATGAGAAATAGGTTGATAGGATAATCATAAGGCAGAATGGTGAGCAGAATAAGAAAAAAAAAAGAAGGAGAAAGAAGAAAAAGGAAAAAAGAACAAGATGTTGAAAATGAAAAGGAGGGAGTGAAGAATTGCAGGGCTGAAGAGAAGAATAATGAGGAGGAGGATGTCCTGTAAGAAATGATCTAGAAAAAAAAAGAACAAAAAGATAAAGAAGAAAAAGAAGTTCAAAAGAAGATGAGGGAAAGGTGAAGGATGACAAAGAGGATGAGGGGAAAAACAAAGGATAAGGAGGAAGAGGGTGTACTGTTGATTATTTCCTCATTACCAAAGAGACCAGATGATATGGACTATAAGAAGAAGACCAGAGAGACAGACGGTGTTACTTAAGAGCAACGGAGAAAAAAGCAGAAGAAAGGAAAAAAACAGCACAATATCAGACCTTTCTTTACACACTCTAAAAGTTCATCAGGTGAGACAGTGTTCTCCTTGTCCGTTTCCTGCTTCTCCATACCATCTTCATCCACCTCTCGTTGTTGTGAGGACAACATCTTCTCCCATACAGCAGTAATTTCTATAAGGCAGGGAGTTAACTCTTGGTAATCAAGCTTTCGACACAGAGTGGCCCCCTCTTCCTCCTGCCTTGCTGGTAATGAAAGAAAAATGTTTATTGAATATAATTATACATCTAGAATATACTAGTAAAGATAATACTTAACTGTCTTTTCTGTTTATTTATATCACAATAATTTCTTGACGCCTCTTCATCGATGAGCTGTGCGCATGAAGCTGCCAGAACTGCAGCAGCAATTCAGAAAATACAAGCTAGGAAAGACACTGAGGCAAATCACCAGAGAGATGCGCTTCTATTCCTTGTCCACATTGATCAAGAACTTTCAGTGCTAGAGTTGGCCTTATTAGCCATCTGCGAGCTCACAAAACCTAACCAAGTCACCATTGGAAGAAAGGACTGGTCATCCATTATCAATGCTTCTGCACTCTCACTAACTAATTTATACTGTCTCTTTGAAAAACCTAAAATAAAACACTTAATCTCGTAAATCAACCAATTGTTCTGCCTCCTGTTAGTTAGTCAACAGATCATTCTCACTGCACATCAAACTATTCATTCCGTAAATGCTCAGAACCTATCCTCTCTAGATCCCACAGCATATAGTGGCTGATGACACCAGTTCTGTGTTAGTTTGTTCTTCTTCATGGGCTTCCTGCATAGGCATCTTATCTGGCCACACCCCTTGTAAGCTGCTGTTCTTGCAGTCTGGTCATGGTCACAGATTCACTGTCATCACTTGGTTCCTGGAAATGTCTTACTTTTCATAAAGTTTAGTACACAGGTGTCCACCCTCCATAGTAGCCCTACATGAAAGCCTATTTATCAACCTCCTCCTTCTCTTTGACACCTGTCATATATTTGCCCTAACAGATACCGTTTTCATGCATACTATGGCTTGACTTTTATAGATATTTGAACCCTCTGATAGTGGAATACACCAAGATTGCAACTCACTGTGGCATTAACAGTCAATCATGAAAACCGGTTTGGCACTAGCACAAGTACACACCATTCTCAGCATAATAGCAAATGAGTAGAAAGCATTCAGAAATCACATTGAACCTCCCTTAGCTAGATCTATACACCTGGCAATGCCGGTGTGAAAGGTAACAAACGAGCAGACCAACTGGCAAGCAATGCCTCGAGCACAAGGAAAGAGGAGATATCTTCAATGACTGACAGACTAGGTTAGTGGAAAATGATGAATCTCTGACACTAACACAATTACATGCCCTGGAAGTACAGCTTTGGGATGCACATCTATGCCACCCTCAAGTCAGAGACAGGAGATGTTATAATCAGCTCCTCCAGAAAACAATCAGAGGAACTACCCTAGAGTGGCTGCTGCATCGTAGGGCTGAGCACTTATGGGTATGCCCAATGTGCAATGACACTGACTGTGATAACATAGCAAACACTTTATCGCAGTTTATACTTCAACTCGACACCAGAAGGTACAAGAATGACAAGATGAGAAACGACAACAAATGATAAAAAAGGGTGCGAAATTATGAAAAATGGTGAGAAATGATGACAAATGGTGAGAAATGTTGAAAAATGTGGAGAAATTATGACAAATGAGAAATTATGAAAAATGATAAGAAATTATAAGAAATGATGACAAATAGTGAGAAATGGTGAGAAATTATGACAAATGATGACAAATGATGACAAATGGTGAGAAATTATGACACATGATGAAAAATGGTGACAAATGATGAGAAAAGCCTGTTTAAGAAAATATATTTTGGTTTTAAAAGGCACATAGAGTGGGATGCAGAGGCGGTGAACCAGAACTAGGGCTCATAATGGTCAAAACCTATCTCTCCCTCACTGTGTGTACTGTGCCTGTGTAGTGACTGCTGTGTCTGTGTGTGTACCTGTGTCTGTGTGTATGTGTTGTGTGTGTGTGAGTGTTGTATCTATTAGTGCATGTGTGTCTGTGTGGGTGTTGTATCTATGTGTATGTGGTGTGTCTGTATGTGGTGTGTCTGTGTGTATGTGTTGTGTCTGTGTGTATGCTGTGTCTCTGAGTATGTGTCATGTCTGTGCATATGTGTTGTGTCTATGTGTGTTGCGAGTATGTGTGGTGTCTGTGTTGTCATTGTGTGTGCCTCCGTGTGTGTATTTGTGTGTGTTTGTGTCATTTCTACTGTCTGCATTGTGTGTGTATTTTTGCATGTATATCTGAAGGTATACATTTGCCATCCATGCTTTTGTATTTTTACTGTACATTCATACTATGAATTTTGACACATGATTAAAATATGCTTGATATATAACACACAGTTGCCGTGTAAAAGATGAGTGCTTGAAAAAGCTCAATAATATGTCGGGTCTGCATGTCTAATTCGTGACCCTTTGAAAATAAAGTTCCTTCATTTGAGTTCTACTTCCCTCAGTTGGTTCTAGGGCCCTGTTGTGGGGAAAACCAGAATAGACCCACCCACTGCCTCCCCAACAAGCACGTCGTAAGAGCTGACAAATTGGGGGCTTCCTTCAAAGTCTGAGTATATCTAGGAACCAAGAGTCTGCATACAATTAAGCCAGATCTGTGAAACAGATGTGCACACAACACTCAGCTTCTGGAACAAGACGTGGGTATTGTCACTGATGACATCACCCATTAACCCCTCCAGACCGCTGGCCCAGTTTACCGGGACTTTCTTAACCAGTCTCTATACCGCTGGCCCTAATTTTTGGCTTTTTGCATAGTATGGGAAAACGATGCGTCACAGACTAAAAATAACCACCCAATCATTATCAATCCTCTTTGTTAGACATTGCAAATGTTTGCCTGCATGTGTTTGGATTATATTTGTGTTGTTTTACGTGGACAAATTCTGAAAATGCACATTGAAACAAGTTCTAGGCTTTTCATAGTCCAACAGGTGATCGATACTTTGGTTTATTCAGACTGCATGTAACTAATATTTTTGTATATCATGTTGGTTTTTTCGCGGTAATGCCCAGGAGCTCAGGTTATAGGGACAGTTAGGTTCAGGGCCTCAGGTCTGGTAGGGTTAATGATAGATGATATAACTGTCACGGATAATATCACCCATTAATGATAGCTGATATAAATGTCAGTGACAGCAACACCCATTAAGGATGGCTGATATAACTGACAGTGACAGCATCCATTATTAAGGATGGCTGATATAACTGTCACTGATGACATAGCCAATTAAGGATGGCTGATATAACTGTCACTGATGACATCACCCCTTAATGATGGCTGATATACATGTCACTGATGAAATCACCCATTAAGGATGGGTGATATAACTGATGACATCATCTATTAAGGATGGTTGATATAACTGATGACATCATCTATTAAGGATGGCTGATATAACTGATGACATCATCTATTAAGGATGGCTGATATAACTGATGACATAATCCATTAAAGATAGATGATATAACTATCAATGATGAAATCACCCATTAAGGATGGCTGATATAACTGATGACATCATCTATTAAGGATGGCTGATATAACTGATGACATAACCCATTAAAGATAGATGATATAACTGTCAATGATGACATCACCCATTAATGATATAAGTGTCAATAATGACATCCCCCAATAATGATGGCTGATATAACTGTCACTGGTGACATCATCCATTAAGGATGGCTGAGACAACTGCCAGTGACAGCATCACCCATTTAGGATGCCTGATATAACCGTCAGTGACAGCATCACTCATTAAAGATGGCTGATATAATTGTCACTGATGACATAACCAATTAAGGATGGCTGATATAACTGTCACTGATGACATAACCAATTAAGGATGGCTGATATAACAGTCACTGATGACATCACCCATTAATGATGGCTGATATTACTGTCACTGATGACATCACCCATTAACGATGGCTGATATAACTGTCAGTGATGACATCACTCATTAATGATGGCTGATATAACTGTCACTGATGACATCACCCATTAATGATGGCTGATATAACTATCACTGATGACATCACCCATTAATGATGGCTGATATAACTGTCACTGATGACATCACCCATTAATGATGGCTGATATAACTATCACTGATGACATCACCCATTAATGATGGCTGAAATAACTATCACTGATGACATCACCCATTAATGATGGCTGAAATAACTGTCACTGATGACATCACCCATTAATGATGGCTGATATAACTGTCACTGATGACATCACCCATTAATGATGGATGATATTTCTGTCACTGATGACACCACCCATTATTGATGGCTGATATAACTGTCACTGATGACATCACCCATTAATGATGGCTGATATAACTTTCACTGATGACATTACTCATTAATGATGGCTGATTTAACTGTCACTGATGACATCACTCATTAATGATGGCTGATATAACTGTAACTGATGACATCACTCATTAATGATGGCTGATATAACTGTCAGTGATGACATCACTCATTAATGATGGCTGATATAACTTTCACCGATGACATCACCCATTAAGGATGGCTGATATGTTGCTGATGAAATCACCCATTAATGATGGCTGATATAACTTCACTGATGACATCACACATTAAGGATGGCTGATTTAACTCTCAGTGACAGTATCGCCCATAAAGGATGCCTGATATAACCGTCAGTGACAGCATCACTCATTAAAGATGGCTGATATAACTGTCACTGATGACATAACCGATTAAGGATGGCTGATATAAATGCCACTGATGACATAACCAATTAAGGATGGCTGATATAACAGTCACTGATGACATCATCCATTAAGGATGGCTGATAAAACTAATGACATTACCAAATAATGATGGCTGATATAACTGTCAATGATGACATCACCCATTAAGGATATAACTGATAACATCCTCCATTAATGATGGCTGATATAACTGATGACATCACCCATTAATGATGGCTGATATAACTGTCACTGATGACATCACCCATTAGGGATGGCTGATATAACTGTCACTGATGACATCACCCATTAATGATGGCTGATATAACTGTCACTGATGACATCACCCATTAATGATGGCTGATATAACTGTCACTGATG